GAGACGGAATCATCATGGTCAGGACGATTAGCCCCATGACCCTGAGAGCGATTAGCTCTTGAGGCATTAGACGATAGGTCATCAGTGCGAGTAGCACTGGACCTTCCTGAAGGCATTGCTTCTGAAAAAGTATGGTCCGACAAAAGGTCAGGACCGGAAAACATCGGCTGTCCGGGCACCTGGTCGTCATTCACAACGTCCAAGATTCCGGCCTGGCCGAGAACCCATTCATCAGTCACCACATGAGGTCCATCCTCAGTGATTCCTGCCATCGTATATACAGTAACCTACAGCGCCTGCAGGGTTGTTAAAAAGGGGTTCGCGGTGCCAACCGAGGACGAATCCTACGGCTGATAACCTGCGAAAGGGTTTGAAACAGTATTTCGGGAGAGAATAAACAGGCCCAATCCCACCAACAAGAAGAGATTGTTTAAGTCCCCCAGTCCCAAGGGCAAAGCGGTGCCCCCGGCTGGCACAAACAACGAACCAAAACAGGGTGCCTTTAACCAAAAGATGAATGAACCCAGCAAGGGCAGAGACAACCGAAAGCAAGCACAAAGCAGCAAACCAGGCAGGCAAACAATGCAGCGCAGCGAGCAAGCAAAGCAAACCAAATGCAGCACCCTCCCAAACCCGTGTCCTGACCCACCTCCACGACCAAGCCCCAACCGCGGCCTCCCGGCAACGCGCACCTTTTGCGCGATGATGGGCGCCGCGCCGTTGAAAGGCGCCGTGACGAGTATGGCAAGTGTGAGTTTGCCAGAGGGAAAACTTGAGCCAAATGGCGCATTGGCCATGGCAATGATCAAACATGCTATGATAAACGTACATGCCCCCAAAAACAAAAAGTGGCGGTTTACTGGTGGGTTCCATTGAAACTGCCGCTTTTGGAGGTCCTAAGAAGTGAAATTGAGGGACCCTTGTTTGAATCCTACCCCGTGAACAAAGGCAAGGGTTCAAAAGGGGAGCCCATGGTCAAATCTCCTGCCCTTTCTATTCTAGTCTTCATCTTTCTAGTCTTCATGTTACCATGGTCAAACCTCCAGTGATTCGTTTTGTAGGCCATGGTTCCTTGTGTAAGCATTCTTCTGGTTGTCTGGGTCCATGATCAGCTTTGACTGCAAAATGAGGGGAACAGCCACATAGCCCCTCTAAAGACAAGCAAGAGTACCTTCCCAGCATTGAACCAACATTCCTTCAGCACCCTCCCAGAACCAGACCCAACCCAAAGCCATGTGAAGACCACAAACCCCGCCCCTGAAGAAAACGTGGATGCTTCGGTGCTTCCATTCCCACCTTTGCCATGGCAAAAGCAGCGCCGAAGCGCCGAACGCAAGCGGAGCGGACGGGGTCACAGGGCTCCAGCTCTTGACACGATGTTCAGGTGGACTAAAAAACACAGGGTTCCCCTTTAAGGGAAGTCAACCACCCCGTGGGTAGACTAGATAAACACGGGGTTCCTCTTTTAAGTGAACCACCCCGAAACTAACTCCCCGAGGTCTACCTATGGAACCAGGGCTCCTCATGGATGACGCGTAGGAGCTCCGCCGCATCGTTGTGCCCCAAGGTGGCCGCGCCGCCACCGGAGCTGCCGATGAGGGCCACGGACATATCGCTGGATGGCGTATGGTAAGAAAAAAGAAGCTGAAGAACAACATGTCGGCATGGGTCAAAATAAAAAATCACTAGTCACTAGGGGGACCGCAGGTTTTGGCCTTTGCTTCCATTTACCAGGGTTCCATGTTTTGTACCCATGTTTGGCGCGGAGCCATGTTGTTCTGCGTAATGTTGTCCCAGCATTCCTAAACCCCAGGTTGCTGAATCCCGGGAAAGCCAACTTTGACTTTGGAGTGGATCCGCTTCTTAGAACACTCCGTACTGATCCGTTTTCCGAGGTCCACACGATGCTTCTGGCTCGTATCGCTGGCTTCTTGCCTTCGTCTGACGGTCTCGGAGCAAAAGCTCTGGGAGAATGAAGCACACGATCCATGCCAGGTGCCATTCAGGTCACGCGCATGACCCTCAAGGCTTCATAGATGGGTGTGGGTAGAAAAACAATTACCGAAAATCGACCCCTGGCAAATGGAAACAAGAACTGAAAACCTGCTGTCCCCTGGTGGCTTTGTTTTGAGCCATGCATATACACTTGGAATACACACTTTTTGGGGGGACATCAATACACTGTTTACCGGGAAACAACACTATTTCCCCCGGAAGATGAGGCAGTCTTGCGAATGGGACACCAACAGATAAACACGTTGCCCCTAATTTGGACAACTATTGGTTGCCGTTGAAGGCTTGTCTGTGGATATACTTCCTTCAACCAATGCCCAAAATTGTTTTGTTTGTTTCTTCCTCAAGCCCTTTAGTTTTCTCGGTGCCCAAAACAAAGCTCCTTGTTGGTGGCTCTGGTGGCTGTGTCTTGTCCCCACAGAGCCCCTGGGCCCCTCTCCAAGAAACTGCTGGGCTCTCCGGCGCTCCAGCGCCTGTAGCTTGATGG